TATGTAGGAATATTTAATTCTGTATCCATTATAAGATCAGTTGTGCATGTTTCTGCGCATAGTACAATGTTTGGTTTTCTTATTTCGACAAGCCTCTCCAGTTCAGTTTTGTTTGCTGTTATACTACAAATATTGAGATATATACATTCTAAGCTATGCAGCCCCCTACTTCGATTTTTGTACTTTTTATGCTTTGATTGCTAATAAACAATCTTTTTTTTCCTTGCGGATAATTTTTGCTGATATACAGGACATGCTCTATCCATAGTATCATGGTTGTCATTAAGCCCAAGATTCAGTTCCTTATTTGCCCTTATACAGTTGATACATTTCTTGATTGGTTCCTTATCGCATTGCGTATGTTTGTGTTCACCCAGACATTTTGTGCACACTTCCCTTTCTTGACAGCCACTGGCCTTATGATGAAAGCCTTTGCATTTAAAACAACAAAGTACTTGGACTGCATCATACACTCTGCACCGTTCCCAGCCTACATTTATCCTTTCTCCAGCTAGTATATTCGTGAAAGCTTCTACGTCCACTTCTAGTACTGCGTTGTAATACACATTCGAACCCTTTTTCTTTTCATACTGTTTTATAATTTTAATGTCCGTTTCAGTAAGACACGCATTTTGTCGTTTAATTCTCTGCGCCAGTTCATCATTATCATATTTAAAGTTTATACCCGATACAACAACTGTCGGTTTCACTTTCTTAGGGATCTTAACCTCATAGGCATTTCCAAGATTAGTCTCGATGGCATTTTTAATTTTATCTCGTTCTTGATCATTTTTACTTTCAACTATCACTACCCCGCTTTGCGTAGTTACTATATTCGTTATTTGCAGCTCTTTAGGGTCTACTTTTGAATTGAGGTCATTTTTTGTCATTTCCGCATCTTGTTTTTTGCTCGGTTTCACTATTAATGGATGATTTTTTTTTATCTCTGGCAACGCTTCTTTTTTTTGTTTACTACTTTTTGTTATATTCGCATACGATATTTTAGCTTCAACATTATTGACATTCTCCTTCAATTCGTTGCACATTTTTTTGTTTTCGTTGCTTATTGCTTCGATCATTTTCTTATTGTCATCTTTGTTAGTTTTTAATTCGACACATACCTGTTCGCTGCTAGCCTTAAAGCCTTCAGCTATTTCCCGTATTTTATTAACCTCTTTTACACTTTTTTCGCACGATTCTTGCGCTTTTTGCATAGCTCTAATTCTTTCACTGAAGGCTGTTTCCACCGCTTGAAGAAGATGCTTTATTTCTTGTTCATTCTTTCTAAGTGCATTATCAAATTCACTTCTATACTCTTGTAGTTGTTGTCCATTTTGCTTCACTACCATTTGCATGTCTTTTAATATATCATCTACATTATTTACGTAATGTACACAGTCAGCGCACATAAATCTTAGCATTTCACATTCTTGCAGTTTATCAATGCTGCATTGGTCAAGCCCAGAACATCTTCGGGTCAGGTGGTAATATTTACCACACACCCCTTCACATCGTATATTGCCCACTTCTCCGCGTATCGTGCTTTTACACTTATCGCACTTTTTTTCCATTTTGGTTTAATTAAATATATGTGCATAGAATTAAATATATGTACATATGCATGTAGCCCCTAATTTAGGTGCAAATGTATGCGTATGCCTTATTTATATTAAATGATTAATTTAAACTTTATTTTATTTAGTGTCACAAATAACTTCCAAATTAGTTTCCTGAGTCTCTATCTCTTACATTAGATTATGTTATCTAATATTTTTATAAGGTTTTAAACTTTTTCAATATAAAATTCAAGGAGCAAAAATAAACACGACCGTTCGTTCCGCCACACTAAGGTATATCTTTTAAATAGGTTTATTTTTTTCAATTTCAACTCTAAAAGCACCACAAACAATTATTTTGTTAATACGAATTACATAAAGCATCATGCCATCAGCTGTTTTTCTTACTAGCAAATAGTTGCTTGTAAAAATTTATCCAGTAAAACGTGCAAGTTCAGCTGTCATTTTTGTTCTCTTAATTTCCCCTCTTTTGCTAGTTTCTTGCAAGTTTTTGCGTACGAAAACGACATCCAGTAAAAAACCAGTAAAATTAGTACTGGATTTACTGGATAGTGCGTACGCGAACAGGGCTACGATCTACCTTATGGGATTCGCGTGTTAGCGAAAACTCACCACCGCATGGCGGTGACGTTGCCGTTGCTTCTCTCTCTCTCTATCAACAGTAAATTTGATATGCTGCTACGTACGCCAACCTACGTTTACGCTACGTCGTTGACTAACTGCGCTTTTACTGTCTTGCTTGCTTTTTATTTTTATAACCAATTTACCAAGCTCAGGAAGAAACAAACAGTAACTAATATTCACAGCGAAATAAGAGAACAATAAGAAATTCTCTTGTCTTGTTTTGAATTTGGAAAAACACAGAAACCCAAGGAAAATCTCGAAAAAAGAACCAAATTTTCATTGGAGTATTTAATGGACTCTATATGCATAAACATTTTTTTGTAAGGATGCTGATTTAAATTAATAAAAAAAAATGTTTCTTGCTCTACGGTCGAATTTTTTCTGTTTTCTATAAATTCAAATATTTTCGTGCAAGCGACGTTAACATTCTTAATCTTATTTTCTAATTCAGCTCTGTCCAGCGCTGCTGCTTCGCTTAGATTCAAGAAAAATTTATAAATTTTTTCCTGGCTGTTTATATGTTAAATTTTTCTTCGTTTTGCATAATTTTTTCTACAATTCCTGATAAACGAAAGCAAAAACAAAAAATGATGTTTAATCTCTAAGTATTTTGCAAAACTTTGAATGCAATGTTTCGCGTTTTTCATTTACCCTTTATTAAAAAAAAAAAATAATAAAAAAGTCTGCTGTTTTACAAATTTTGTAGATAATTTTGTTACTTAGCAAATTTTCTACTTTTTTCCTAAAATTTTTTTGTTGGAATTAGCAAATTTTCCATGAATTTTTCCAATATGTCTTCTTCTTCTTTTTTGGCGCTGTAACCGCCTAAGCGATTTTGGCCGAGTTCAGCAAAGCACGCCAGTCGTTTCTCCTCTGTGCCAACTGACGCCAACTGGAAACGCCAAGTGAAG